CGTGACCGAGAACATTCATGCACAAAAGGACACGTCGAATTCCGCTGATTCCGGAATTCCTAACTGTCGGGCCCGATTCCTTGTGCGCTTGCTGAGGTGCACGCAATTTCCCATGCATTTCCCAAATTACGAAAAGCAGAATTCCAAGAATCAATAAAACTTCCAAAAAATAGGGGCCCAAACGAGGCATCCAAAATCTTGAAGAGCGACGGGGGCTTCATCGGGCCAGTATGATACAAAGGAAAGATTTAAGCCAAAGGGGTACGAAAGATAGCACGGGGTCGGGAAGTGGTTCGTCACACTCTGGCCAGTCGGCCACTTCGCGCAACCGAAGAGGAGTGAGTTTTGTGATACCAAGCACACAGTCTGTCCTCCTCCCAGTTTTTTATGCACAGAAAGTTCCAAGGATGTATCTTTATTGACGTTACCCGGAATAAGACCCTATTTACTGTCAATATAAAGCAATAGATTGCTTAGCAAGGGATGATCTCTACCTCACGGTGGTACTGATCGTGATGCACTCGTCATCACCGGCTCACCGTTCCTTATGGGGAATCAGATCCTGTCTGTAAGCAATGCTAACATTTCCTTATCTTAATTCGGAAATGATTGCTCGTAGTAGTCCGAGCTAGTTGTTCATCTTTCCATCTTTGTCTTAGACCGGGTCTGCAAATGAAGTAGGCGTGACTTTCCAGGTCAGTTTACCAGTCACCCAGCCCGGAACTGGGTGACTGGAAAACTGACCTGGAAAGCTGCAGTGATACACTGTGACTTTACCTTCTGGGTGCATCACACCTGCCATGGAAACTTGTCTTTTTTTTTCCCCCTCTGCTTTTCGAAAACGGGGCAACGACCGAGCATTTTGCGAGTAGCTGCGCCTTTACGTTAGCCACCCCCTCCCCCAACCCCCCCAACCGTAGGCCCCACCCTACTGCCTGACTAATGCCAATTAGGGCGGGGGCAATGTGAGAGGCAGCTATGCTTGCAAGGGACCTCTATATAGGCTTAGGAGTAGTGGTAGGTAGATAGTGAAAGGTGAAACTGAGAGAAGAACATAGTTGAATTGAATTGAAATAACTGTTCGGCAAAACAACATTTAGCAAGAGAATGGAGATGGAAGATACACCCAAGGTCACGTTCCATTACGCACGCTATAGGAGAAACCAGAACTTCGTGAAGTCAGGACTCGAAATCTTTTAGTCAAAAAAACACTTAAGATCGAGTGCAAGTCATCCCCACGAGGCCACACCTCA